TGTTCCTATTAGGGGTAAAAAAGGTACAAAGATGTCCTTTTAAGAGTACTGCCACAGGTCAAGCTGTTGTACCCCAAAAGGTAAAATTTTGGCCCCTCTTTTTCTGTGTGGCCTGGATGAGTGTGAGATTTCCCGGCCTGAAATTGCGTCCCAGTCCGGCCCTGCTGTGTAACCGACTGTTGGTGAGTTTGTGTTTCTGTTCATGCCAAGTCAAGTCTTTCTTAGTTTGTTTGGATTTTGGATTTCACCTTGTTTAAATAAAAGTGGCACTTGGGTTTATCACAACTCTCTTTCAGTGGACTGTTTGTTACACCACCTATTTTTATGAGCATTTTGGAATATCGCATAAAAAAACAGCTGGATGGAAACACTAAGATGTGCATAAATTCTATAAATGACACAATTGAGTAGGATCAACTTTTTATCCGCTACGAAAAACTGCATTAACTATGATAGAAACACATTTACCGAATAAATTCCACCATGCGCATCAAAAAAAGACGTGTCTTTGCAAGATGGGATGGGATAACTTGACTAACCAGTGGACCGATCTCATTGCACAGCATCTGAAATGTTGTTTTGGTTGTGAAAATTATTATAGTAAGTGGCTTCTCCTAATTTTCTTTCTTTCTTTCTTTTTTTCTTACTTTACTTTCTTTCTTGTTTTCTTTAACTCGTTGGATGGAAATGGTGCTTTATTCGCAAATGTTTTATGCAATATTCCAGTTTTGCGCAAAAATTAAAATTATTAATATTATTTGAATATTTGGATGGAAACATAGCTATTTAGAAGTAGTTTTTAAACTAATGGATTAGGAACAGAATTTAGTAAGGAAGCAAAAAAAAGAAAAAAAAAAAGAAAAAAACACGACTTCAATAGCGGGGAAGTCGTGGCCTAATGGTTAGAGAGTCAGACTCATAACCCAAAGGTTGCGGGTTTGAGTCTCGTACCGGCAGGGATTGTAGGTGGGGGGAGTGAATGTACAATGCTCTCTCCACCTTCAATACCACAACTGAGGTGCACTTGAGCAAGGCACCGAACCCCCAACTGCTCCCCGCAGCAAAAAAATGGCTGCCCACTGCTCCGTGTGTGTGTGTGTGCGCGCGCGCACTTTGGATGGGATAAATGCAGAGCACTAATTCTGAGTATGGGTCACCATACTTGGCCACATGTCACGTCACTTCACTTTCAATTTAAAATTAAAATGCCCCCATATCATTTTGAACTTCATGTCAATTTACAGTTCACAGGGAGTGACTGGGTGACTCCCACAATTCCATGCCACTCCCTTAACCCAGACCTTAAATCAGTGAGTGCGCTTGGGAATTCTGGGATTTAAATTTGTGACCGTATGTGCTGGTTTGATAGGATTTCAGCTTGAGAGGATAAGAAAACGTGACTATTTCCTCATAACGTTCATGGCTGCTTACGTCTGGTGTCCGCACAGTTTTTCCAGTGACAATAGTAAATTTAAAGCTAATACTGTTGTTTTAACCAGCAAATTTTTATGTCTAGTGGCCTGATGCTGTTTTTAACATAAAATAAGATATTTTGAAGATTGCTGGTAATCAATCTAAAAAAATACTATGGAAGTCAATGGCAACCACCAACTGTTTGATTACCAGCAATCTTCAAAATATTTTATTTTATGTTCAACATAAGAAAGCAACTCATACAGGTTTGGAACGACATGAGGATGAGTAAATGATGACATGATGAGAGTCGTTCTCAGAGGCTTGACAAATACGGGCCCAGACAGTAGATTAACGTTGGTGGACTTGAAATGGTGTGAACTGACAATTTTCTGCAGTTAAAACTTGAAAGATATCTTCTAATGTTCATTCATGTTTATTTCACACTATAACTAGTAAAGAAAAAGTGATGATCGTTTCATGTGCTGCTTGAGCTACAGCGATCTGTCACGACACAAATTAAAGAGCCACAAAAAGGTATTTATTGTTTGATTATTATTTCTTTTTTTTAAAAAGACAATTTGAGACTTTGTTTCATACCTAAAGTAATCTGCTCTGTCTTATCTGTCAGTGCGTTGTCAGTTTCCTCTTTGCTCTGCGATGTATTTTTCACTACTTGAGAACATGATGTGTGGCGTGAGAGTGCCATGGCTTGTCAGACATGGCAACAGTAATGAAGGTGGGGCGGGTCTTTGTGAGGGGTCAATTGTGGGTCCCCCATCAGAGGCAGCCCAATCAAGAGTCAGAAATATAAAAAATGTTTGGTTTGGGATAGGGTAGCCTCCGACTCAATAGTGAGAAGCAGTAAAATAATTGTAATGTTGTAAAATTGAACCAATTAGTCACCACCTAGCAACACCCTAACGACCTCCCATAACACCCACAACTGTGCAGATATGAGTTTTGCTGCTCTTGGTTGAGCCAGTAGGCCTTTTTGTGTGGAGTTTGCATGGTCTCCCCATTTTGGTGTGGGTAATCTCTGGGTGCTCTGGTTTCTCCCAGTCTAAAGACTTTGCAGGATAGGTGAATTGAAAAGACTAAATGGCTGGTGTGAATGTGCGTGTTGACCAGCCGTCCATCCAGGGTGTTTCCCTGCCTATTGCCCGATTCTGGTATAGGCTCCAGCATCCCCGAGACCCTACTTATGATAAGCGGTTTGGAGATTGGAAGGATAGACGGAAGATTTTGCTATCTACAATTTGGAACAGCCAGCGATGCCTAAAACTACTACCTGGGTGGGCAGCTCACTAGGTTTTGAAACAGAGCTATGGTTGAGGGATGAGCATTGAACGCACTACCATAGAGTATGACGCCCTACAGCGTCCAAGAGATGTGCTAGACCTGTCACTCGACATCTCAGTTTACATTTCCAAAACACACGCTCATGTTGCAGAGGAAGCTGGCTCTTCTGTGAGACACTTATTCAACACCATGACTAATCTGAGGCGCCATCATTGAGGGGAAAGCCTCAAAATACACAGAACACCAAATTACAGAAATAGGACTACAAACCTCTCAGAAAACATCTCTAACATGATTACGGCAAATAATTCTTCCATAAACCATCTGTGAAATGAAAAGGTACCAGACTGAAGCTACAGTGTCTGGTGTTAACAGGATGGTAAAGTGCATTAAAGCATCATTTGGCTGCAAGGGCTGAGGCCTTCCTATATTTCTTAGGAACATCAGCACAGTTTAACTAGGGGAATGAGATAATGGCGAGACAGAACATTAAACAAGCTCTTTCTGCTTTGCTGCATTATGGAAGATAAAGAGGTAGTTGACATAAAAAGGTCAGACTCTAAAAGAGATCGAGAAAACTGATTTAAAGGAACTGCATCTACCTTCTAAGGGGTCGTTTGCACACAACACATTTTTGCATTCCACTGTGCAACTATTCCATTGTTTTTATGCCTTTATTTTACTGCCTGATCTAAAAATTATGCAGTTGGCAACATCAGCCCTCATGGTTTTCGTTCGACATTGTGGTATAGAATATAGATCAGTGTTGGCTCAGCAAAGGGCCACTTTGAGGGCCTAAAATAAGACATCAAGTCCAAAGTCACCGTTACCTTAGATGGCAGCTGTGACTGGGGGCGGGGCCGAGAGCCGTGGGAACGAAGCGAGGCCAGTGGAGTAATTGATAATGAGCGACACCTGCACCACTCACCGGTCTCGAGTCCCATGGAGGAACTCCGGAAGGATAAAAGGAGGAGCTACGACAGCGAAAGACGAGAGAGGACCAGGCCTGGATTTTATTTTGTGTTTTGTGTGCGGCAGTCGTCCGCGAGGGGCTGCCGCTTTACTTTCATTTTGTGTTTGTTTATTTTATTAAAGTCTTTAAATGTTTGCCGGTTCCCGCCTCCTTCTTCCCGACCTACAAACGGTGTTACATTGGTGCCGAAACCCGGGAGGAAGGAGGGACACGCTGTCAGAGAGCCCTCGCTGCTGAGGGGGATCGCGATGCTGAGGAGATCGGGCAGCAGGAACAAGCGAAGAGACCGCCAGTGGCTGCCCGAGGCGGTGATACTGGAGTGATGGAAGACGAGGTGGGACGGAGAGCTCGCTGCCACGCTCCTGGGTTGAGGAGGGGTGGCTGCCGTCTGAGAGGGAGCGGAGGAGTCGGCCCCGTTCGCCAGGAGGCCGGAGCCTGCTGCCATCCGCCATGATTGGGGAGGAGCAGGGAACAGGGGACTCGCTGCCGGCTGCCCTCAACAGGAGGAGCCATCGCCGTCCGCCAGGAGGCGGATGAGCAGTGGGCCGTCCACCAAAGATGTCCAGTACCATCGCATGGCACCGTGAGTGAGAGCCTCTCAGCCGGTTGCGGACTAAGCGGCAGTGTGTCCGGGAACCGGACCAATAATTTTTTTTTCTTTTCCTCTCTCCCCTCTATCGTATCTGTCTCTCCTCATCCTTCCGTCTCCTTTTCTCTCGCCTCGTCTGTCTGTCCTTACCCCCAGGTACGCCGTGGCCGCCCGTGATCGGCGATGCGAGGGGCGATGGGTGTATGTAACGAGTGGGGGCGGGGCCGAGAGCCGTGGGAACAGAGTGAGGCCGGTGGAGTAATTGATACTGAGCGACACCTGCACCACTCACCAGTCTCGAGTCCCACGGAGGAGCTCCAGAAGGATAAAAAGAGGAGCTACAACAGTGAAAGACGAGAGAGGACCAGGCCTGGATTTTATTTTGTGTTTTGTGTGCGGCAGTCGTCCACGAGGGACTGCCGCTTTACTTTCATTTTGTGTTTGTTTATTTTATTAAAGTTTTTAAACGTTCGCCGGTTCCCGCTTCCTTCTTCCCGAACAACAAACTGTGTTACAGCAGCATAATGTTGTTAGAAGCAAACCTACAATATGATACCTTAAAATGTAGCTCACTAGGTTTTGAAACCAACCCTCTTTAACACATGTATTACATAACTAACTGTAGTACACTAACATACAGATGTTCTTAAATGAGTTATTCATACTTCATGCTTACTCAATAGAAAGTTGTCAAATGTAATGCGAGTGTGTGTAATTACTTACAAGATCTCTTTGCTCGTCATTATCTCGTATTGAAGGTCGAGGTCTCAGCAGCATGTCATCACTAAATTCAGTGTCCGACCCCGTGGGGGACTCGGGTAAATCCAGGAAGTCATCTCGCTTTGGACCACGGAATCTTATTTTGTCCAGCCGCTTTAGCATGTTCAACACAGCTGCTTTAGGCTTTACCTTAACATTGTGTATGGCAGCCCTGCAGGGTCAACAAAGTACAAAAAGTATCACGTATAAAAGTAACACATTTACAGAAACCTTTAAAAATAAAAACAAACTGTTAGATTTTAAAGAGGACACAGGTGATACACTGCTGGAGAATTTTCACTTGCACATAATGAAGATGCAAAGTGGCTTTATTACAGTAAGCCAATAGTACTGACAGACTGATATATATCATCCTGTCAATTGAATTAGCCAATTTTTGGCTCATTTGAGATTACTGGCATTGGCTGATGCTCATGTCGACTCTGTCGGCTGAAAAAATTGTTGGTAAATATTGTGTATATGTCTCAGCAAAGTTGTTTTCATTAAATCATATTAAATATAAATAATTTCTAATAATAATTAAAAAATCATATACTATGAAAAATATGCTGTATCACTTTACTTAAAGCCTTTATGTATAATGCATTTTAAAGGATATAATGCATTATTCATAATGCGCATTGTAACACATTATATCTTGTCATAAATAATTATAACAGAATTTAAAATGCACAGTGTAACAATGAATTGATAAGTGTTATAATGTATTATTAATGTACAATTATTCATATTATGTACATGCACAATGCATTATGAGGTGCATTACATTAAAACTACTTTTATAATGCATTATACATTATATATATATATATATATATACATTTTTTAAAATTCACATGTATGATTTTAAGAAAAAGTAAACATTATGTCATACAAACATTTTAAAACCAATAAAAAAAAAAAGTAAAGATAAAACTAACATATTTAAAACCTTACACAACCATGACAATAACCATGTGTTTTTGTTTTTTTCAACTGCAATGTTTTATTTACTTAATACTAATAAGCTGATTTACATAATTACACACTAATGGATGACAGAAAGCCACAAAATGTATTTTGATTTCATTAATTACACGACTCTTGATTAAATGTGAACCCTTTCTCTGAAATAAGATATTACATTTTACCCTGAAGTCACCTCTCTGACACATGCTCATATCCTCAGGAATTTCACAAAAACACGTGAATGAATATTCTCAGTAGTCTCTAGGGTTGACCTTTAAAAACGAAAGGGAATTCATTAGCTCTTCTGTTCTGAAGACGAACACCAAAAAAACATGTCAAATCGCAGCAGGTTGTGAATGGATTTCAGGTGCCTTTCCTGCCTCGAGCAAGACTCACTGACCAAAGTTTTTCAAAATACTGCGGAAATCCCAGTGGAAATGTAGTGCCATGTGTGGATTTCCCACACAACTTGGGCATGTCACTACCTCTTTGAAAGTGCTTCAATAACCATCATAATATAATACAGGTATAGGTTCAACTATTGCGCAATCTGTAAGAATGAAAGGTTTTGTAACATGCTGAAGATTTTACATTCACTATAATTTGTAGTTTATGGAACCACTGCAGAATTACTCATTTTTGCAACTACGTTAAAAAAGCTATGTGCAAATCAAATGTTTACAGGCCCAGCAAATCCACCTGAATCTAGATGAACTCGACTTGAATGTTAATATAAATGAATTAATACTGTCCATGTGACGGGAGCAAGAAAGTTAAAAAGGTTTGAAACGTGAATATGAGGGTCAGTATTTTAACACTTAAACACAGTTAAAATTACAAAATAAACAGGTAAGAACAAAAAGCTTTTATGTCGAGAAAACAATGGCGCAGATTGTAGATGCAGACAACAAAACGATGGGGTCATGAGCTTCAACTGTAACCGTCTCTCTCTGAAATTACATTACAGAAGACTGACTGCCTTAAGAGCTCTCAGTGCTTATTATTATGAAATTATATTTGGCCATTATTGTGATTCTGCATGCTGTGAGAGCAGCAGAAGTTTCTAGTCAAGTACACAAGTTGGAACTAAATGTGTCCACCCACATAACCCAGCGATATCTATACTGCCCACATCTCTACACAAATATTCACCACCAAGGCCTTCTGATTTACTTCTAACTGAACCACCATTGAGAGCACTGGAGGAATGCTATGACTTACTACAGCAAACAATGACAAAGACATTCATATCTGCAAGAGAGAAATGAAATTCAGTTCATTCAAGATCAAATCTATGCTACATAATACACAAAAACACAAAATGTACTTCTTTATTTGTGCATGAGTCATACTCAGAGTTCAACACTACAGGTGCTGCCTACATAAACTCTCTCAGTACAGGAATACTGTGTTTTACTGATCAAAGAAATGGTTTGCTTGAGAAAACGGCTTAATCTGAAACCACTAAATCGGAAATAATCAGTTGTCAAATGGATAAATTAATCAATAAATCAATGCAACAACAAATCAATAAATCCACGTGTCAGTGATTCAACTGATTTTAAATATTTAGTTGATTTCCAAATGGACAACTGAATAAGTGACTAATAGGCCAATTAGTTAATAAATCCATTGATTAATTAATCACAAGATTAAATCATCAATGACACAAACACAAACTGATCAATGAAACAATGGATCAATAATTCAGTTTCCAATGTTTCAGTTGATTTCGCAATGGTTTAATTAGTGACTCAATATGGCAATGCATGAATAAATCCATGGATTAATGAACCAAATATGAAACAACAGAACAATGATTTGATTGATTGATCAATGATTCCATTATTTTAATATTTTAATTGATTTCACAATGGATAAATGAACCAGTGATTCAGTAGGCCAATGAATATGTGGATCAATTAATAAAAATATTAATTAATCAACGACTTAGCTGATCAATTCATAGATTCAATTATTTTTCAATGATTCGGTTTATTTCAGAATGAATAAATGAATCAGTGACTCAATAGGTAAATAATTAAATGAACCCATGGATCAGTTCATCAAAGATTCTTTCGTCAATGATTTAACAGATCAATGGATCAGTGATTGAATTTATTTATTGGATTCAGTAGGTCAATAAATCATTGAATCCATAGATCCAATAATCCAAAGAATAATTAATCAACTCTGCAGATCAATGGAATCAAATATCAATGAATCGATGGATCAATTATTCAACTGCTTTCAATCATTCAGCTGATTTTACAATGATACATGAATCAGTGACTCAGTAGATCAATGAATCAACAGAGCAAATGAAACAGTAAATCAATAAATCCACTGATCAGTGAGTCAATCGATCTTGCCTTGACGGAACAACGAATAGATGGCTGAGTTCAGATCAATTGATCAGTGAACGAGTCAGTGAATCAGTCACTGAATCCATGGATCAGTTAATCAAAGATTCTTTCGTCAATGATTTAACAGATCAATGGCTCAATGATTGAATTTATTTCACAATAAATGATGAATTGGTGAATCAGTAGGTCAATAAATCATTGAATCCATAGATCCAATAATCAAAAGAATAATTAATCAACTCTGCAGATCAATGGAATCAAATATCAATGAATCGATGGATCAATTATTCAACTGCTTTCAATCATTCAGCTGATTTTACAATGATACATGAATCAGTGACTCAGTAGATCAATGAATCAACAGAGCAAATGAAACAGTAAATCAATAAATCCACTGATCAGTGAGTCAATTGATCTTGCCTTCACGGAACAACGAATAGATGGCTGAGTTCAGATCAGTTGATCAGTGAACGAGTCAGTGAATATCAACAACACATGTATTCACTCTCACTCCATCACATGCATGTGTTCTGCAGGCCGTCTGCGTGTTGTGTGGATACAATGTATTCAGTCCGATGTTCTGCAGAATGATACATTTTGTTCCGAAGATTCTGAATGACAGAATAACGGTCACGTTCCAGGAACGCATTTAAATGGCACGTTAAACAAAGCGATGCCACATTCGATTAGGACTTATACATCCTTAGCTATTTAAATCTGCGGGTCTTAAGTGCGCCACTGACACTGATAGGAACAGTTTCATTTTAAAGATCGTTACTCCGAATAGAACCGCTTTCATCTATGAATCATGACAGTCCTCCTGTACACACGTACTGTAAATCGCCTGTTGCCCTCTTGGATATGATTAAAGGACACATGTTAAAGATCCGCTTACCCAGCTCGCAAATCGTAGCAAAGTTTCATGAACCCTGCTGATAGTCTGTGATGGATCCTTCAGTAACACCTGCTGGAAAACTGCTGGAAATATACACCACCAGATCCCTCTCCCCCTCTGATGTCTAAAAGAGCCGCGCGATGTCCCTAGAGCCTTGATTATGAATGAGTTAATGTCAGTCCCCCGGAGAACACGGATCTGCGTGTCTTATTGATGTCACCGAACTCACACACACAGCAGACGGGCAGATCTCCTAAACGCGTCCGCTGAGCTCTTAAAGGGGCCGCAGCACTGTTTACTAAAAAGTTTGGAGGCGACATACATTGTTTTTGTTGTTGTCGTTTTTTGTGTAGATATGGAAGCCCGTTGTCGCCACTGAATAAAAAAAATAAAAGGGTAATTGCGACATTTTATCTCACAATTCTGACTTTTTTTCCCCCTCAGAATTGCGTGGTAGTTTATACCACGCAATTCTGAGAAAAAAAAGTCAGAATTGTGAGATAAAATGTCGCAATTGCGAGTTAAAAAGTCATAATTGTGAGATATAAACTCGCAATTCTGAGAAATAAAGTCAGAACTGCGTGATATAAACTCGCAATTGCGAGACATAAAGTCGCAGAAAATATCTAAGAAAATATCAGTCCCCCCCCCAATTGCGAGTTTATTTCACGCAATTCTGACTTTATAACTTGCAATTGCGAGTTTATATCTCACAATCCTGTGAAAAAAAGTCAGAATTGTGAGATAAAAAAGTCAGAATTGTGAGATAAAAAGACGCATTACCTTTTTTTGTTTTTTATTCAGTGGCGAAAAACTGGCTTCCATATGTAGATGATAAATAACCTTATTTATTTATTAACTTACTTTTTTAACTATTATTATTATTATTATTATTTAATTCATATTGCATGCAGCTTTATGGACTCCGGACGCTCATATATTAAATGACTGGCTATATATAAAATGTCATATTTGTGTTTGTATTTAATATTGTACATTAACTATTGAACTAGAGTGATTGTTGGTGAATAATTCAAAGGTTCAATTTTTCCCCCCCTCGTAATATAATTTTACACCAATAAATACATTTTACTTTAAAAATATATTTATATTTGAGACAGAGACTCAACTCATATCAGTAGATTAATAAGAGCTGTTATTTTATTTATTTATTTATTTACACTTCCACTTGTGGGAAAAATGAATCATGGCTGATTGCAAAACAGCAACAACCGCATTAACAACAACAACAACAATACTACTACTACTAATAATAATAATATGTTAAACAAATAAACCATAAACACTTTTTGAACGGCTGTAATATTTCATATATTCTCTCAATTAAAATGATCTTTTAAAACTGTAATTACTATTCAACATGACTAATAAAATAGATGACTTCATTGAAGTGAAATTAGATATATTTTAACCATTAAAAATAAAAGGGTATATGCTAAACTAATTTATTCTGTCTCTAAAATATAATGGGAGTTCAGGCAAAACACGGTTATAAAATCACAATAAAATAAATCAATGGAAAATGTGACCTTTTTAGATTCTTTGTCATTTTAATTGTTATTATTGCAACAATAGCTGAAGTAAATATTTTCAAAAATACATAAGTATAAACAGCAAAAAATAATGTTATATGGCAGAGTTTTACTTACATTTTTCAAGTGTGACTCTCTGTGAGCGTGTGTGGAACTCTCAAACTCTTTTCATGGATCAGGCTCGTGACCTTTGACTGCTAGATTTAGTAAATAATCTCCTTTTAAACATTATTCACATATTCTACTGATAAGATTACACTGTATGCAAAGCAAAGGTAAATCAATCACTTTTGGCTAGTCAGTATATAAAGGAAAGCAATGCCTTATGAAAAGTTACCAAGCCATGTTCAACATCTTTATTATAAATGTCAAACTCACCTAAATGTGTTGCTTTACCGCTAGATGGCGCCAGATATTATAAGAGATGTTTATTGTAAAAACGTTTGTCATTTTAATCACATCATTTGTTTGCTGCTTTGCTTCATGATTTCTGTCGCGTATTTAATTCTCATGAAACCGTGAATTACGCAAGATCCAACAAGCCTTGTTAAAAAAAATTTTTTAATTGAGTTTAATACTAGGTTCCTTTACGCAAGAAATCATTCGTGAAGGCTAATTATCTTATCAAACTATACAAAACCTATCATTAACCCTTTAAACTGAGTTTTTCAGTAACAGATTAGAGACTGTGTCATTTAGAATTAATTCAAAAAGTGCATCAGAGTTCACTTAGAATAATTTACAGATATTATATAAAGTTCTTGAAAAACGAGTCCCTCCCATGATCTACTTTATCATTTGAGGGCCAGATTCAGACCAAGACCTGTTGGTTTAAGATTTTTTTTAAATAATAATAATAATAATAATAATAATAAAATCTCCTATTACACAGGGTGAAAAAAAGATACCACACTAAGTAGTGGCTGTGGTAATTATTACCTTTAGTACATTATAAGTAGCTTACAGTCTTGCCAGAGACCATAAGACCCAGATCCAGACCAAGACTGCAGTTGTTGTGACCATGTTTACATGGTTCAGAGACGCCTCAAAACCAAGACCACATGATTAAGACTTTGGAAAGGGTGACAGAAATACTTCTGAGACACCAGTAGCTAAAAGACCTAGAAATTGACAGGAAACGTATAGAACAAAAACATGTTTTACCAAGGTATGAAGACAAACAGTAGCAAAATGATCATTAATTATCCTGCTTAAAGCCTTTTGATGACCATGAGATGATAATCAAACATATCAGCCAGGTAACTGATTTGCCAGTAGACGGTGCTAAAAGGAGGTGAAACAGCCTCACAAAACAAGTAGCATTTTCATCATTAAGTATGGAAGCAGATGTAATACGTATCTCAGCTGTTTAGCTGTTTAGACTGACTGTGTCTTAAAAAAACATATTATTCTGTGAGGACTATTCAGGAATTAACAACTACTGGAGCACAAGTCACCCTGAGTTTTCTCTTTCTGAGTGTTGAAGTACATGAGATAAGTGGTTGTCCTCCTTTGGCAAGAATAAATTAGATAAAACAAAGGTAAAACTAATATGCATAATATTATTTCAGCGTGTCTGCTATCAACTGAATGACAGCTACAGTATAATACTGTACAACTGGTTAAGCACAGCTTACCCCAAAGCATGACACATTGCCTCACCATTATCATTGTAGAAAAACATGTTTCATTCAATAATTCACGGCTAATCTTCTAAATCCCCCTTCTCCCTCTCTTTTTTTTACAAAATAATATTTACAAAATGTACATGCAAAACTGTAAATATTACATTTCTCATATGTTTAATTCTGTAAACTCTCTTGAGAGTTTTGCATGGTAATATACATGGCAATGCTAATGTGTCTGGTCTTGGCGGAATAGATCTGCTACGTTGCTGCTGTGGCAGAGCAAGTACCGAGACTTGCTACTGCCAATACAACCACAGACATGCTGCTGCGAGCATCTAAGCAATACTGCTGCTGCACATACAGTATAACATATATGAAATAACTCCCAGATATAACATACATGAAATTACCCTGTAGCTGATCTATACAGGTGGAGCTGGGGAAGGTGAAGGGTTTCTGCTACAGCAAGCACTAGCCAAGAATAATCGAATGTTGAGCAGCAAGCTCATTGGCTGCTGATACTAAAAGAAACCTATTGGATTGCACCATCTAGAATTTCATGACAAAACTATGGATTTAGACAGACATATAAATCATATATTTTAGACACCTTACATTTATATTTAATTAGCTGGACTTCTGACTTCTGACTAAAAAAAGTTTAAATATACATTTCTTACATGACAGCAGACAAATATTTTTGAACTTCAGAAATATTTTCGGAATTTTTGGGCAAGAAAAAGACTGACATGAACATATATATTTACATTACCTTTAGACATGTAGCGGAGGCTTTTATCCAAAGCGACTTACAAATGAGGACAATGGAAGCAATCAAAATCAACAAAAGAGCAATGATAAGCAAGTGCTATAACAAGTCTCAGTTAGCTTAATGCAGTAAACGTAGCAAGTTTTTTTTTTAATCATATAATAAATAAAAAGAAAACAGATAGAATAGAAAAACAATAAAGCAAGCTAGTGTTAGAGGCCTTTTTTGCTTTTGTTAATCAGAAGTCAGAAGTCAGAATTATAATTGTATAATAAATAAAAAGAAAACAAATAGACAGAATACAAAAAGATTAGAAAAGCAAGTGTTATTTTTTTATTTAATTTTTTTTATAAAGAATATAGCGAGTGCTAGAGTTAGAGGGTCAAATAAAGATGGAAGAGATGTGTTTTTAGCCAATTCTTGAAGATGGCTAAGGACTCAGCTGCTCGGACTGAGTTGGGCAGGTCATTCCACCAGGAGGGAACATTTAATTTAAAAGTCCGAGAAAGTGATTATGTGCCTCTTTGGAATGTCCACTTTTGAAACCAGACTGGTTGCTGTCGAGGAGGTTGTTCTGTGTGAGAAAGGCAGAGACTTGGTTGAACACAGCTCGTTCAAGTGTTTTTGCAATGAAAGGAAGAAGGGAAACCGGTCTGTAGTTCTCTAAAAGACTTGGGTTAAGAGTGGGTTTCTTAAGAAGTGGGATTATATGAGCCTGTCTAAATGCTGAGGGAAAAACACCAGTGTGGAGGGATATGTTAATGATGTGAGTGAGTGCAGGTACAACTGCAGGATAAATGGCTTGAAGAAGATGATGGAATAGGATCAAGCGGACAAGTAGTAGGATGATTAGAAAGGATGAGTTTGTAGACTTCTGCCTCCAAGAGTGAAGAGAAGGATGTGAACGAGTGTATGTTTGCTGGTAAGATGTGCTTATATATATATATTCTATTTATCTGGAATGGCACTTTGTGTGCCACCCCCTTCCCACAGCGCCCTTCAAGGGTGCAAAAAAGGCCATTAGGACTTTTCCCAGATTGTCAGTCTATGCATTAGATGGGGATATATTGTCAAGGACTTCTTTCACGAAGGTTATATAGTTACATCATTAGGTGGTGACAAGGGACTGTATTTATGAGTGAGTCATTGACTCATCCAGTTAACCAATTTGTTTAAAACTGATTCTTTCACAAATGAAATTCAATGAAACTTTATATCTTTCTTTAATAAAAAGACATGTAATGTATTGGTAAACAGTTATTTTTTCTTTAATGTATTTGTCTTTACAGTCTCAATGT